AATGTTACATAGAATATTTATTTTGTTGGAGTAATGACCAAATATAAATTTTAATGGTAAAGTAATTAATGCAGTGCTGAAGGTGTTGGAAAGGCACCATTTGCAGACCTATTTCATACAGCCTAATTTGTGGTGAATATATTATTTACTATTTGTGTCTGCAGAATCAAGCTATTAGCTCTTGGACCCCGCCTATCTAACCAATCAATTTTTCCTATATTTCATCTACTATATGTATTTCTAAAATACACACATCCCTTTGAAGCAGTCTGTAGCAGCTGTCTTAACTCCCAAGTACCTATTCACTCCAAGGTGAACAGGTGCATCGAGGTGAAAGAAACTCTGCCCATTTGTTTCTGCCTCTGCCTTGAATTGAACCCGGGGCCTTAGGACTGACCCACAAAAGCTGTCCATTCAGCCTCGAGGTCCCTAAGCCCCTCAATATTTACTCATAGACATAAGAAGATGAAAATGGGACTTTTTTCAACTGATGTGGGTTGCTTCCTTTATTTATTTATCTATTTATTTATTTATATATTTATATATAAGAAGGTACATTGGGTTTATTAGAGTACAGAGAATTGAAGTTTTACATTCTTATAAAGCTACTAGCACGCATAGTGTTTGGGGCAGATCCTTAATCTAACATATAATTTTAAGAAGGTAATTTCTAGCAAATTTAAAAAATCTTTACAGGTACATTGTAAGAAAGTATAAAAATACATTGTAAGAAAATATAAAAATACATTGTAAGAAGGTATAAAAATGCATTGTAGGCAAGTATAAAAAATTGTATTAGAAATTGGACAGAGAAAAAAAGTAAGTACATTAAAGTAAATTTAATGGTTATCCACAGGTATCCACATTTTAGCATGAATTGAGGATTTTTTATTTTTTATTTTATTTATTTATATATATATATATATATATTATTTATATATATATATATATGTCGTACCTAGTAGCCAGAATGCACTTCTCAGCCTACTATGCAATGCCCGATTTGCCTAATAAGCCAAGTTTTGATAAATTAATTGTTTTTCGACTACCTAACCTAACTAACCTAACCTAACCTAACTTTTTCGGCTACCTAACCTAACCTAACCTATAAAGATAGGTTAAGTTAGGTTAGGTAGGGTTGGTTAGGTTTGGTCATATATCTACGTTAATTTTAACTCCAATAAAAAAAAATTGACCTCATACATAATGAAATGGGTAGCTTTATCATTTCATAAGAAAAAAAATAGAGAAAATATATTAATTCAGGAAAACTTGGTTTATTAGGCAAATCGGGCCTTGCATAGTAGGCCGAGAAGTGCGTTCTGGCTACTAGGTACGACATTGTAACGGTTCTTTTTCACTCACTGGGTCACCAATGTAACGGTTCTATTGTTACGTAAAGTATGGTGACAAATAAACACAGACACTAAGATACTATATATATATTTGGTCGAATATACAGAAGTACACAGGTGATACGTTGGTGTGAGTTGAGCGCACTGAGCGTTGGTACAGTATCTCGCAAGTGTCTGCTCTAGACCACACTTGAAAGTAGACTAGTTAATGTTTGCTATTCTTGCTGCTTATATTGCTTGGGCAACACCTCACCGTGTTGCCCGGGCAACGCCTCACCTCATTCATCTCCAAAGGTTGACAGGAATATTAACACTATATTTGGAGCGAGTATATTATTGGGATAATCTACTCGCTACAGAACTCCCCCTCCCAGGGAATGAAAGGAAAAATACTTGATCAAGGAACTTAGCTGGTCGGTGAATTGTACGCCCTGCTCGCGTTACATAACCATCAAAGTTAACTTCCTCCTCTTCGCTGATGTCATCTAACTGGGGTCGTAGGGTGGGAGGTCGCACAGGATCGTCCGTCGTCGTAGGATCAGGTTGTGGTGCAGCTGGTAACTGGGGTTGTAACATGGGAGGTCGTACAGGATCGTCCGTTGTCGTAGGTGGCGGTGCTGCTGGTAACTGTGGTCGAAAAGTGAACTGCGTAGTCAGCGGATGTGTCTGGAGGGATGTCTGGGGCAGCGTCACTCCGGGGTCACCAATGTAACGGTTCTTTTTCACTCACTGGGTCACCAATGTAACGGTTCTATTGTTACGTAAAGTATGGTGACAAATAAACACAGACACTAAGATACTATATATATATTTGGTCGAATATACAGAAGTACACAGGTGATACGTTGGTGTGAGTTGAGCGCACTGAGCGTTGGTACAGTATCTCGCAAGTGTCTGCTCTAGACCACACTTGAAAGTAGACTAGTTAATGTTTGCTATTCTTGCTGCTTATATTGCTCGGGCAACACCTCACCGTGTTGCCCGGGCAACGCCTCACCTCATTCATCTACAAAGGTTGACAGGAATATTAACACTATATTTGGAGCGAGTATATTATTGGGATAATCTACTCGCTACAACATATATATATATATATATATATATATATATATATATATATATATATATATATATATATATATATATATATATATATATATATATATATATATATATATATGTCGTACCTAATAGCCAGAACGCACTTCTCAGCCTACTATGCAAGGCCCGATTTGCCTAATAAGCCAAGTTTTCCTGAATTAATATATTTTTCCTAATTTTTTTCTTATGAAATGATAAAGCTACCCATTTCATTATGTATGAGGTCAATTTTTTTTTATTGGAGTTAAATTAACGTAGATATATGACCGAACCTAACCAACCCTACCTAACCTAACCTAACCTATCTCTATCGGTTAGGTTAGGTTAGGTAGCAGAAAAAGTTTTATCTAGGTTAGGTTAGGTAGGTTAGGTAGTCGAAAAAACATTAATTCATGAAAACTTGGCTTATTAGGCAAATTGGGCCATGCATAGTTGGCTGAGAAGTGCGTTCTGGCTATTAGGTACGACATATATATATATATATATATATATATATATATATATATATATATATATATATATATATATATATATATATATATATATATATATATATATATATATATATATATATATATATATATATATATATATTTATATATATATATTATATATATATATATGTCGTACCTAATAGCCAGAACGCACTTCTCAGCCTACTATTCAAGGCCCGATTTGCCTAATAAGCCAAGTTTTCATGAATTAATGTTTTTTCGTCTACCTAACCTACCTAACCTAACCTAACCTAGCTTTTTTGGCTACCTAACCTAACCTTACCTATAAATATAGGTTAGGTTAGGTTAGGTAGGGTTGGTTAGGTTCGGTCATATATCTACGTTAATTTTAACTCCAATAAAAAAAAATTGACCTCATACATAGAGAAAAGGGTTGCTTTATCATTTCATAAGAAAACAATTATAGTAAATATATTATTTCAGGAAAACTTGGCTTATTAGGCAAATCGGGCCTTGCATAGTAGGCCAAAAAGTGCATTCTGGCTACTAGGTACGACATATATATATATATATATATATATATATATATATATATATATATATATATATATATATATATATATATATATATATACATATATATATATATACATATATATATATATACATATACATACATACATACATACATACATACATACATACATACATACATACATACATACATACATACACAAGAAGGTACATTGGGATTGTGAGGATAAATAGCATAGTACAGTAATTACATTCTTGTAAAGCCACTAGTACTTGCAGCATACTAGTGGCTTTAGTACTAGTACTTTTCAGAAGTACAAGTACTAGGATTATTGCAAGATATAATGTAGCAGATTATGTGTATAACTTGATATAAAATAACAGCATTGATTACAATGGTAAAGTTGTATGTCATAGGTACATATGTTGGGGAAATGGGTATCACTAGGTACAGTGCGAGTTTCAAGAACTAGGTAAGAAACTATGAAGATGAGATAAGGTACTTTTTGGTTTTATTTTTGAATAAGGAAAAAGTTTGACAGCTTTTCAATTCATTAGGGAGTGAGTTCCATAGACCAGGTCCCTTTATTTGCATAGAGTGTTTACACAGATTAAGTTTGACTCTGGGGATATCAAAGATCTATTTATTTCTGGTGTGGTGATTATGTATTCACCTAGTTGTGCTTGCGGGGGTTGAGCTCTGCGCTTTCGGCCTGCCTCTCAACTGTCAATCAACTGTTACTAACTACTATTTTTTTCCCCACCCCACACACACACAAACACACACACCCTCGGAAGGAGCCCGTGACAGCTGACTATCTCCCAGGTACCTATTTATTCAGGTAACAGGAGCATCAGGGTGAAAGAAACTCTGCCCATTATTTCTCGCCGGCGCCCGGAATCGAACCCGGGACAACAGGATCATGTGCCCAGCGTGCTGTCCGCTCAGCCACCGGCCCCCCCCAATACGTGTTCTATTACATCTGTCCAAGAAGTTTCAGAACAGGGTTAGCAATGTAGCAATTATAACCAGAATAGGGGTTTGTTTTGGGACGCTTACCTTTCTGGGTACCTGACCCGGTCGATGGCAAACATAGAATGTTTCCAACCACACGGGGGTTTCTATAGGCCATTGCTCCCCTTGCCTCTCTGAGGGGACCGGGTTCTGGCACGTGGTCCCCGGTAGGCCCACAGAACTCCATACACATGACTGATGCCAAAGTCTGACATTAGCATATCAGCCTGGATATATCCGGGGAGCCTCTGGGTTTTACCCAGAAAATGCCGTTTCATTACATTCAACGCTGTTTTTTTCGTGGGCAGGTTCGAATGCTCCTTATGGCACCTGCAGAGTTTCTCAATATGTACCACCACCACCACCACTGCTGCAACTTGTAAATCTTTGCATAAAAATCAGAAATACATAAGTGTGAGTTTTTGTCCTATGTTGTTATGTCTGTGAGAAGACATTACCATTACTGTACTTACTACTACTACTACTACTACTACTTACCTATCTACTACCATACTACTATAATTTGTGATGGTCTTTCAGAACCACGTCTAGTCAAGATGCCAGCAGACAGCAACGTGACTGGATCTGCTGCTGATGCTAAGAAGATTTCCACTCCAACCAAAGATGATGTGCTTTTTGACCCCTGGTGTGACCCCAAGAATCCTAGGGCCATCAGCTTCCAGGTCTGTGAGAATTAGTCACTTCATTACACAAGAGTTAAAGTGGTTTATTCATTATCGTGCATTTTCTGAGTTGTACTACTCTATTGTACTCCCTAGGCAATGCCTCCAGTTTTTTTCATGGACAGGAATGAAGACATTCAGGACAGGTCTATATTCTGCACTAGTACAGTAGCCCTTATAAGTGCTACTTAGCATCCAAGGAACCACCAAGGAGTGTTCTCACTTAATGCTCTCATTTATAGAGAAGGATAAGTATACTTTAATCATGATATTATACAATTTACTAATAAGAATCCTTATAACCAAAAAATATGCATAACAGTTATAACAACGAGCTATGACTGTTATAACCACAAGCAAATTTGTCTGGGTTCATGTCCGGGCCAAAGTCAGATTGGCTGGCTTTGTTCTTAACTCACAATCTGGAATTCTGAGTTTGATTTCCAGGTGGGATAGAAATGGTTGGGAACGTTTCCTTTCATTTAATGCCTCTGTTTACCTAGCAGTAAGTAGGTACCTGGGAGTTAGGCAACTATTGTAGGGTTGCATCCTGGGAAGGGTCAGTAGTTTGACCTTGGGGACCTCAATACAGTACAAGCCTAAATATATGTTTAAACAGGTTTCCTGTCCCCCAACAAAACAAATTCACCATTCACCCAGCTGAACTTAAGGACCTGATTTTTTGTGTAAACAGTTTGGCAGGTCTCGTTCCAGTGAAAACTTAGTAAGGTAAGGTTTAATATGAGCTATGGGAAGGGACTACATCATCGTTGCTGTCCCTGCCTCCGGTGGTCTTGTTTTGGCTGCAGAGGCACGGTTTATTGGGGTCGAGTCGAGCTTGGGTGGCTCGGCAGTTGCTCGAGCAGCTGTGCAGGAGCCTTAGCTTTGCCCTCCTTGTTTATCTCCTGGCCAGAGTTTGGTTGATGGGGTTCTGGAGTGCTTCTGCTCCCCAAGCCCGGCCCGAGGCTAGGCTTGAGTTGTGAGAGTTTGGTCCACTAGGCTGTTGCTTGGAGCAGCTCACAAGATCACATATTCACCACAGTATCATAGTGGTTGGTTCGGCACTCCTTGGAGAAAATGATCTAGTTTTCTCTTGAAGCTGTCCACAGTTGTTCCAGCAATATTTCTTATGCTCATTGGGAGTATGTTGAACAGCCGTGGACCTCTGATGTTTATACAGTGTTCTCTGATTGTGCCTATGGCACCCCAAAGCTTGTCACCTATTACACTGTGGCTAGTTCTGCTCCTCCTGAAGACGTACTTTTGCGGGGGTTTTCTTTTTCTTTTTATTTGTTTGTTGCCTGGTGCGGAGTCTGCCCCTTAGTTATTATCCACCCACTGGTAGTCTGGTGGTTCCCTGCTATGTCCCTCATGATTGTGCACGTCGCAGTAGTTCAGTTTTAATTGATCTCTCAGTAGTTTGGGCCAACTGGTTAGCAGTAACTTGTCTGGGCTTCCCTTAGCAGTCAACCTAAGGGCCCCTGGAAAACGTTGGGGCTCAATGGTCCAATGGATGCATCCTCTGAATCCCATCTTGCGAGTTCGAAAGCTGCTCTGTCCCTTTTATCAGGGAGACATTCACTGGTTTTCCCTCCGTCATACTGCCTGTTGGGTCAGTGACACCCTCAAACCAGTCCTATGAGTGGTGTTTCTTGCTTGTTTTCCAATTCACCCAGTCCACTGATACTGATAATAGGCTGTAGGTTGCATCGGCATTGCATGCACAGATGGTTGCAGTTGCTGCAACGCACTAGGTTGGCTGCCTTTCGGGAAGCCCCGTGGCTGTCCCGTTTTGTTTATAGGGACCCGGACTTGGGGGCATTAGTCACATTAACTTTGCTTTCGTCTATGCCCCTCGTCCTTTCCCTGCTGTGGTTTGTCCTACTGCCGGCTCCCAAACATCGGAGGGCTTCGGAGTTGGGGCAGGGTCTAGATGGTGATGAGACTCTGGCGGTCTTGCAGGCTGCCCTTTCTAGTTCGGCAATGGAGACATTCAAGCCTGCTCCTCCAGATGGGGTTTCAGGGTCTGTCAGTGGACCCCCCCCGTTTTCCCAGCTTTTCCGGTTGACTCTGCCTTTCCTTTAGGGGCGGAGGGTTTGGAGGACAGTTCTGCCCTGGGTCCTGGCATTGAGAATCCTGGGGCTGGGAGGGGTTGATTTGGGTTGCTTGGACCCCCTTTTGACCCCGCTTGGGTTTTAGTGCCCTCAATGTGGGGCTTGTTGTTGCAAGGGGGAAAGGTTTTCTTACCCCCCCCCTTCCCTGTATGAATTTGATAGGGTTCAGCTCCTCCCCGGCATCGGTTCTGAGTTCCCCTGGGTTCTTCAGTCCCTTCCTCCTGGAAGTTTTCGGCTTCTCGTATCCTGCCTAAGGAGGTTTGGGAGGCCATTGCGACGTACCTCCTGTGTGACCCGGTTTTTGCCTCGATAATGGACCCTTCCTCATTTGAGCTCGGTTCTACTTTTCCTTATTGGGTGCATTATGAGGTATCGGATTCATCTTGGTTAGCAGACTGCCCTTTCTTTTCGTTGGGGGCGTGGCATTCATTCTGTCGGACCTGCATGCTTTAGTGGCAGGAAACTTCTACTGTAGTTCAGATTTACCTGGGGGGGGGGGGCAAGTTGGGGCACCTCAATGCGTGGTTGTTTGCCCCTCATTCTTCCTAATGATATCGGTCAGGTGCAGCTCCATGTGCAGGTTCTTGTCCTTTTGGTGTCCCTGGTGGCTAACGATTTGCGTGCCGAGGGGCACTTGGCTTTGGTTTTGCATTTCTGTTCCCTGCTCGAGTTGTCTTTGAACTGGCTTGAGGAGGATGTGGAGGTGCTAGAGACTGGGCCAAGGCAAGGCGCGCTTGCCTTGGCGGCTCAGGCGTCGGCTGCCTTGTTGAAGTTGTATGCGCCTATTCTGAAGGAGGCAGTGCCTCTGTTCGTTGCTTCCCTCCTCGCATGTCGGTAGGCTGTGCTCGCTCATTCTCTGGAATCTGCGTGGGCCTCTGGCTCTTAGATTTTATCACCTTTTTGTCAGTTACTGTTTGTGGATTCTGTGGTTATGCAGTATCTGCAAGCAGCTTCAACTAGCTGTCGCGCTATGTCAGACTTGTTGGTTCTCTAGGAGAGGGTGGAAGGGGTCTTGGGGATCGTTCCTGGAGGGGTCGTGCCAGGGTTCGAGGTTCCTCCAGTTGTACTGGGCTAGTGGTGCCAGATTAGAAGCCGGCGCTTCCTTCGGACCCAACGGCTTCTGGTCAGCGCATCACTTGGGTTTGAATAAGGGGCAGCAGCCCTTTTGTGGTTCACCTTGTTGACAATGGGGGGGAGAAGGCTTGCTCAGTTTGCTCACACCTTGTCCCAAGGTTTGTGGGCGTTCCGGGTCGTTTCCTTCAACCTGTGGTAGCGTTGGGTGGCTTCTCCTCCTTCAGGGGGTTCAGGGTTCATGGGGCAGGCCTCTTCTCTTGCACTCTGTCAAGTCATCTTGGTGTGGGTGTGCTTGGATGTGGTCGAAACGACCCTATCCCTTAGGTGGGTTTCCTGCCTGTTTCTAGTTCCGAGGACTGTGAGGATCTGAGGTTCATTCTGGACCTTGTCCTGTCTGAACTCCTTGGGTTTTTGCCCTTCATTTTGGATGACCATTCTGTCCCAGGTCTGGCTTCTTTGGAGCCTGCTGCTTGGATGGTGCCCCTGGACCTCCAGGACGCGTATTGACATGTCCCGATTCATCTGGGGTTCAGGGACTGACTCGGTTTTGTCATGGGGCGACAAGCTTACTGCCGTTGCCTTCCATTCAGCTTGAATCTGGCGCCTCGCATTTTTACACGCCTCACCCAGGTCGTGCGTGGTGACCTGTTTGCGTCTGTTAGGGGTTCGAGTTCTTGCTTACCTTGACGGCTGGCTGGTTTGGGGTTCCAGCCGGTCTGCACGTCTGCTTGCCTGGGATTTGGTTCTTTCCCAGCTCGACTGGTTTGGGTTCTTGATGAACTGGAGGAAGTCCCATTTGGTTCTTAATTAGGTTTGAACTTGGCTGGGTCTTGTGTGGGACTCTCAGAGCGCTTCCTTGTCTCTCCCTCCCTTCAGCATTGCAGTGGTTACGGTCCCGCCTTCAGCTGTTTTAGTGGGGGGGGGCACCCGGGTCACTCGTCGGTTGTTCGAGTAGCTATGTGGGAGTCTGAATTTCACCATGCTGGTCTACTCGTTGGGTCAGATCTGGCTTCGGCGGCTGTTTTGGTTCCTTCGGGGACATCCCTTCTGCTGCTCTCGCGATCTCTGGGTTCGGACCCCGGGGACTTGTGTCGGCTGCTGCATCACCGACTTCCTCTTTGGGTTTTTCGGAGTTCAGTGTCATGGCACCTACCTGAGCCCACGCTCGATGTGTTCATGGACACTTCGTCTCTCTTCTGGGGCTTTGTGACCAGTGCTCACCAGACTGGCCAGGGGCAGTGGGGTCTGTCCTTCCGTCAGGTTCACAGCTCGGTGGGGGCGTTCGCAGCGGTGTGGCTTTCTCTTCAGAGGGTTCCAGTTGCTCGCGGATTGACGATCCGGCTCTATTCAGATTGCTCCCTAGTGGTTTATTGTCTGAACCGCAGAGGTTTGATGTGGTCCTTGGCTCTTTGGGGCTTGTCGCTTCGGGTGACTTGTCTGCTGAGTTTTCGGAGTTTGGCTCTCCTGGCAGTTCAAATCCAGGGGGTGTCAATGTCCTGGCAAATTGCCTGTCCCGGTTCATTCCCTTTCTCCACGGAATGGAGGGTCGATGCCGACTTGTTTAGTTAGCTCTGCCGGATGTTCGGGCGCCCAGAGGTGGACCTTTTCATGTTGGCCTGGTCGAGGCGTCTTCCAGTGTATGTGGTGCCCTTCCCTGACCGCAAGGCCGTCAGGGTCGATACCTTTCAGCTGGACTGATCATGGTGGGGTTACCTGTACCTCTTCTCATAGATTTGGTTGTTGCTCCTGTTCCAGGCTCGCTTGGAGACTTACTAGGGGAGAGTAGTCCTGTTGGCCCCAAGGTGGCCAGCC